AATGGAACACGTTCAAGTATGGAGCTGCGTCGGCATGGGTAGGCTGCAAAGGGAGAGGTACTGTAACGGGTTTATTCCAGGCTGAAAAGAGAAGAAAGGAAACACACCGTTTCGGCCGCGGAGCCTTCTTCGGGTGCGAGGGAACACGTTTGGTGAAGTACCTTGCTCCAGGGGACCACAGCTGAGATTTAGACCCACGACCTGTCCTGTACCAGGCAGAGCCCTGAGCACCGCTCCACACTGCGTGAGCACCGAGGGGAGTCACTCTGACCGCTGGAGGGAGGTGGGAGTCCCCACGGCAGCATCCGCAGACCGAAAATGAGCTTCAGTGACCTGTCCAAGGTGCTGAAGTGTCCCTTCACAGCGGGCAGCCGTTTACATTTGTACGGTACTGTAGGTATTCGCCATGTTCGGCGTTATAAACACGTAAAAATAGGAGCAGCAAACGGCTGAACTTTTCCCACACTACAGCCTGAAGACGGGATTACGCGAACATACCATTCAGTCATGGGGAAGGTTTAAAATCGCTTTTATTAAGATCGGAAAGGGAACTATAACATTACTATACACTGAATAGATCCTTATACCTAACCTAGTGTAACAGATTTAGATGACCGAAGATGTAGTATTAACTTTCTATGTGATTTTGTTCCAATTAAATGTGGTTTTCTACAGCAGCATAGTGATTCCACGGTATAAAATCACAAGCCAGGCAACGTAAGAGCGATACCTTTTCCAAATTACTTCATTCCAAAAGCATTAAACACAATTTTTAAAATTATTTTAAAAAGTCTTCATTCATCATGGCTTTAAGGAGCAATCTTTAGAGTTCTTGTGAGGACTTCTCGTCTTCTTCCACAGGCGCGTACACGGCCCTGGAAGAGAGAAGAGATCGGGGTGGGTGAGGAGGCTGGATATTATCGTACAAAACATGATTCTCTGTTCCACTTAATAAAACCCGATATGTCCCCATTGAAGTATTTTTGCATGACAATTGAGCGCAACTAGAATGCTCATTATACTTTATTTTATGTTTTGGAGAATTTTTCTTCCATGCAGCCTTGTCACGTCATAACCACGGCTATGACTTTAAAGAACAAGTGGTTTCTCCGACTTGAATCTGGATGGTAACTGAAGGGAAAACGCACAGTTCACGATTTATCCCAGAACACGCAGTGTACCTCCAAAAACTACAGTTCTGTTTAAACTGTGTGGCTACGGTTGCCGACACTTCTGTTGCTGCTGCGATGAATATGAATGTAAATAAATACAGAACCACGAATTAGATACATGAAATTAAAATAAGAATACTAAGGTGTGGGATAACAAGGGTCCGTATTGGGGAGCCGCCGTATTT